GCTCCATGCCTTGACCCTTATGTGCTTTATCTCTCTTCTTTCCCACCGCTGGGTTTGCTCTCCCAGGCTCGCAACATCCGTGAATTTGATGAGCGCTATACATCTGTGGTCTTTGGTTACAAGTCATGCCAGGAGTATTACCAAGAAGCCAGTCCTTCCCAGAAGGTGTGTCACCTACAAGTGCCAGTGTTGTGCCTGAATGCTTCAGATGACCCCTTCTCTCCTGAACATGGTGAGTCCTATACTTTTTCTGGGGTAGAGAACGATCACTAGGAAGCCTGCTCTGATTTGTTCCGTCTTCTTCCAGCTTTCCCCACAGAGACAGCACAGCACGTGCCTACCCTCGCCCTCTTAGTGACTGCACGAGGTGGTCATATTGGCTTCCTAGAAGGACTCCTACCTCGCCATCAGGGTTACATGGACCGTGTCTTTAATCAGTTTATGGATGCTGTTTTCAAACATCAGGAGGAGCTGGCAGCTGTAACAGTAGCCATGGGAAGCCAACAGCCTGAACAGAACTTAAATGCAAAGATGATCAGCACATGATCAAGAATCAAACGTCCACCATACGGGTGAATATGACCTCCCTTAGAGAGATGAAACCCCTCTGAGGCAAAACTAATTGCACTACCATGCACAACATCCTTTCTGTTCTCCTAGGGTACCCATTTCCTTTCCCAAAGGACTCCTAGTCAGATTCTGCTGCTATGAATAGCAACCACAGATGAAGATGCTGTAATGATGATCAGCAGAATACAGGATTGGTTTTCCTAGCATTTGGGCCTATAGCTGTTTGTTCCATATATGGAACCAGATGTTTACTTGTTGTTTTAATTCCTCCATCCTGGATTCTCTTGTAGAGAACAGTTTTGTGTGCTCTATGAAAATATTGGGCTAAAAATTTAGGCAAACCACAGGTTACAGAGTGGGTTGTGACTCTTGTGAACTATACCAGTGTTTTTCAACCACTGTGCCGTGGCACACTAGTGTGCCGTGACATA